CTACGCGGGCCGCCAGCGCGGCGCGGCACATTGGGCACTATGTAAGGGTGCGCGCGCGCGACCCTGCGTGGACAAGCAGCGCGCGACTGCCCGCGCCATCGGCTCCGTTTCTGAAGGGGCCCCAGGACACACAAATAAATACACAAAAATAAACATATTCCCCATATTTTCCCATATTTTCTAGGATTTTGTCTTCCCCCCACTCCCCATATTTTCCTATATTTTCTTGGGAATCGACGATTAATTGTGTCTGTGTGTTTTTTCCCCTCCTGAGTTTCCCCCGTCGCCAGGGTGGGATCTGGCCCAGGGGAGAGGGGGGCGCCGGCGCGTGGGGCGGGGCGGGCCTGACAGGGATGAGGCGCTCATTGCAAGGGCTCTCAATTGTGGGCCCAGCACGGGCACCTTGGCGTTCAGTCGCGCTCGACGACGACAGAGAGCCGCGGCGACGACGATGGGGCTGACAACCGTGGGGACGCACGGCGGGAAAACGAAAGCGACGCTGACGACGCTGGCAATTGAGAATGTCGAAGCCGTTGGCTGCGATGACGACGGCGGCGGCGATGGCGGACGGCGGCAAGTACAAGCAGACGGCGACGGACGACGAGGGGGGAATGACGCGGACGAGCCACCCCCTTGGAATTCTGGGAAAACGCGCGGGCCTGACTGACAAAGTCGCAGATTCCCGGGCGCAGCCCGCCTCCTGTAATTTGACAATTTCTGCAACCGTGTCTCTGGCGCGAGATGGAGCGCCCCAAGGCTCACACCTGCATTGCTGCTACAGCCAGGTTTGTAATTTTCAAAAGCCCCAGCCCTCAAAGTTCGGGACCGCCTTGGGGGTTTTCCAACCTTCCCCCGTGAGTCCTGGGAAGTTTCCTGCCGGTCCTCTGGATGGTGTGCCCGCCCAAAACGACCGCCCTAAGCCTCCGATGCGTCCATTGCGATTCGCCGAAAGATCGTTCCACGACGTTCAAAAAGTTACGCAACAGCCCAGGAGGACTCCAAAACGCCCCAAGAGGTACCAGGGCCAGAAACACAAAACACATTGATTTGTTCCCAACCATCCTGTGGTGTTGGGTCGTGGTTTTGAAGAGACAGCGCCCCGCGTCCCTTCCTCCTCCCGCTGTCCCCTCCCTCCTCCTCGCATCATCGTCGTCATCATCATCTTTATTACAATCCTCACAATAATAATCCTAACCGTCATAATCACCATCACCATCACCATCACCATCACCATCACCATCACCATCACCATCACCATCACCATCACCATCACCATCACCATCACCATCATCATCATCATCATCATCATCATCATCATCATCATCATCATCATCACCGATCTCGGCACCGCTCCATTTGGGTACACTCCATTTTGGCACCCCTCACGAGGACCGTGGCCCCATAGGAGCTCCACCGAAGGCGCCAGTAGCAAAGTTCTCGGGCCATTTCGGCACACCCCTCACGAGAACCGTGGCCCCATAGGAGCTCCACCGAAGGCGCTAGTAGCAAAGTTCGCATGGCGGCCTCGGGCCATTTCGGCACACCCCTCACGAGGATCGTGGCCCCATAGGAGCTCCACTGAAAGCGCTAGTAGCAAAGTTCGCATGGCGGCCTCGGGCCATTTCGGCACACCCCTCACGAGGACCGTGGCCCCATAGGAGCTCCACCGAAGGCGCCAGTAGCAAAGTTCGCATGGCGGCCTCGGGCCATTTCGGCACACTGTCAGCCCTGCATAGTGCAATGATGATGCCGATCCCGTCTGAAAGCCGATGTTGACATATGAACCTGTAAGGGGGACCTGTATGTGGACCGCCTGAGTGCTCAGACTCGAGCTCAAAGAGCTGCAGCCTCTGCTGGGAAACTCTACTACAGCGTCGACATCCTTAGGACGGAGGGGCGAGCGTGGGGGAAACGAGGGGAGGAGGAGGAGAAAGAGGAGGGGGAGGTGGAGGAGGAGGAGGAGGAGGAGGAGGGGGAAGGCGGATGGGAGAAAGGAAGGAGAAAACACTGTCCCGCGTGAGTCCCTTTCCGCCGTCTCTCTCTCACCGGGGCTGCCCCAGCACAGGCGCGAGACCACATGCTGCCGAGAATGAACCCTCGGCCATGGAACTTCGGATGAGATGGCTGCAATTCCCGTTGGGCCTGAATCTGTTGGATCGCGCAAGACGGCTAAACCCAGAGTCTTCGCATCGTAGCCATGCGTATACATGTACTGCGCTCTGCGCATAGTCCGTCGCGCCCGGGCAACCTGACAACGATGGGGCGATATGGAGGGGGAGGTGGAGGTGAAGGAACCGAGGATGCGGGAACAGGAGCCGCATTCCAAACACACGCAAGCTCGACGCGTCTGCAAGGAATGATTATGCACCAGATGGACCCCCGCGCAAGACTGGCGTGACGCCAACTCTGCAGCGTGTCTCTCCACGGCATGGGGACAATCCTCCCGCTTCCGAAGGCAACGGCTGCGAAGTCCTTGAGGGCCTTTTCGAGAAGAGAGAACGAAGATCAGGGTGGAGGAGATGGAAGCGGTGGGTGGAAGGGTGCGAAGAATTTGCTTCGGAATCGGAAGATGCGCAGGAAAGCCACAACAACCCTCACATGGGGACTGCGTCTGTGCGGTGCCAACAAAATCGGGGCCCTCATGAAACATCCGCCAATCCCACTTGTCGGGGGTGCAAAAGGCGAGTGAGATTAGTGGCTTTCCCCCTCACCTTGTCCCTCTCACCTGGAGCTCCACATCGCGTTCGAGAGGGGAATCACCGAGCTCCTACACGCGTCTTCGGGGCCCCCAAAGACTCCAATTCTAGAATCTGCGTCCTCGAACATGCTCAAGCCCAACATTTCATCTAAGCTTGCTCAAGCTGGGCTCCAATACGCCAAAGAGCCGCACAACCACTTCAGATAGTCCCGAGATGGCCCAAGAAGCCTCCAAGACGCCCCACGGGAGCCCCAAGGACTCCCACGAGGGTCCCAAGACGTCCAAATCGTCACAGTTCCCGATGGAAGCGATTACTCGCCATTGTCCTCACAAGACCCGCGACGGCCCAAACGGCCCCCAACATCGTCCCAGAACGGTCCACGCGGCCACTGGGCCCCAACACGGCCCAAAAACACCCCAAGAAGTCCCCAACGACGCCCAAGACGGTCCAGGAGACTCCCCAAGAGGGCCCCAAAAAGAGCCCAATCGGGGGAATTCGAACTGACAGTGGGAAGCTTGTTCCCCAAGATGGCCCCAAGAGTCATCCCGAGACTGTGGAGGCGTCCCCGAAAAAAAGGCCCCCCCAAAGCCCCCAACTGGCCCCTAAGATGCCCTAGCAACCCTCACGGATGCCCCCAAGAGTCGCCCAAGAGCCCCCCGAGAGGCATCCCAAGAAACACTCATTTGCATTCAAGAGCCTCCTCACCCAGCCCAGCAAAGGTGCCAGGTGGGCCAGAGGGTAACTAGACAACTCCCACGATCGTGGCCTGAGGGCCGGCGGAATGGCGCATGCCGCTTGGACCCACGTCCGGAAGTGACGTGCTGAGCGGCAGCGTTGTCTGTGGAGGCGATAATGCAACGTATCCAATGTATACAATCGTGATACAACATATAGTGTTGGTTTACGCTTTTATCTCTTTCTCCCTAACCGCTCCTTGGAGTCGCGCTACTCACGCCGTACCCAATCTCGAGGCACTCATTCTGGGGCTCCACATCTGCAGAACATTATATATATATATATATATAGATATACTATATATATATATATATATATATATATGGAAAATCAACATGTTCGGCCTCTTGGGCGTCTTGGGACTCCAAGAGGGCATTCAGAAGGCCCAAGATGGCCCCAAACCGGCCCAAGACGGCCCCAATACGGCCCTGGATGGTCCCAAGAGGGCCCGTGAGGCCCCCAAGACGGCTCAATGGGGCCCCCAAGAGGACTCGAAAGAGTGCCTCCATAAGCCCAAAGCATTGATTTCCCGTTGCTTGTTGAAAGATGTTAACGTTCTCGCCTTTTTCGGCCCTCAGAGGACCATAGCGGCCAAAGCAGCCTCCTAGAAGACCCACGACGGCCAAAAAGACCACAAAGGGGCCCCAAAACTGCTTGCAAGACGGCCCCGAGACGGCCAAAAGAGGCCCCCAAGACTGTCCAAGGGGCCCCCAAGACGGCACAAGAGGACTCCAAGAGAGCCCTAAGGCGGCCGCGAGACGCCTCCAAAATGGCCACCGAAGGGGCCAGACGGCGCAAGAGCTCCCCAAGCCAGCGCAAGACGTCATCAAGAAGCCCCAAGTGGCCCCAAAGCGGCCCCAGAAACGCTCCAAGAAACCCCCACGAGGCTTTCAAGAGGCTCCCAAGAGCCCCCCATGAGGCCGCCCAGAAGCCCTGGGGATGGCAGGACGGAGGGGCACGCACGCGCGGCAGCCGAGCAGGGCGCGCCAACCAACGCCCAGACCTTCCACATTTGAGCACTCGTACCGCGGCGATTACCAATCTGGATCGGCTTTGCGGCGCCGACTCTGCCCGCCAGCAAGCGGGGCAGAGCAAGTCTGCTTTGTCACGCTGGGAACTGTGCGCCGTTTCTCGCATCAAAACTGCCGAGCACAGCGCGCATTTTAAACACCGGCCTCCGAATGGGCCACACGCCGCAAGAGCGCCCCAAGACGGCCCAAGACGCCCCCAAGAGGCCCCAAGAGGCATCAAAGAAGCCCAGTGCAGAAGATGCCCCAAGAAGCTTCCAAGACACCTCCAAGAGGCCACAAAGAAGCTCCCAAGAGGCACCGCAACGACTGGACTGTACATGCTCTGGACGTGCACCTCGCGAAGCGAGAGGAATCTGACAATCATTTCGAATGGAATCCAACCGTCGCCAAGAGAGCCCACCCAGAACCCCAAAGACATCCCTGCAGGTCTAGGAACCTGCCGTGCGCACGTCCTCCCCTCTGGCTACTTCACTGGCCCTCCCGACCTAGACGCCCGACGATGTGCTGCTTTTACATATGCGGGCTCCAGAGATCTCTAACCGTTCCTGAGAACGAATCTTCGTCCTGCGTTCACTATTGATGGTCCAGGTGTCAGAGCACGGAGCCTAGAAACCGAAATTGAGGGAAAACTCCGGATGGGAATCCATCGCCGGAAGTCTGGGCCCACCATGAAGGGAAACGATACGGGGGTGGACTTTGCACAGGAGGGGGCACATCGACCGTGAATCGGCAATACATCGGCGGCAGATCGGCAATGGGCCCGCGCTAGCGAATCCGCACGCTCCTGAGCAAGTTGGGCCTATCAGGCCTCCATCGGCGATCAACGGGCAGTTGGAGTTCGATGCATCCTCCCCCCTGACCTCACCTCCCCCTATCCTTGCCCCTGACACCATGCCTCCCGAAGAACCTCGTTTTGACGCGCCAGAGCAGGCCTGCGGGCATTCTGAGCACCTGGCTGACCTCCAGCTTAGGGGCGCCTTCCAGCGCCGTGGAGAACGCTTCGGGCAGCCCTGAATGCTGCTGCACATGCCTCCCTACAAAATGCTTTCTCAGACGCTCAGGCAAGCGGGGCCAACCAGGGTGACACAGAGGCCAGACGAGGACGATGAAGCGGAGGAGGAGGAGGAGGAGGAGGAGGAGGAGGAGGAGGAGGAGGAGGAGGAGGAGGGAGGAGGAGGGGTAGGAGGAGGGGTAGGAGGAGGAGGAGGAGGAGGAGTAGGAGGAGGAGGAGGAGGAGGAGGAGGAGGAGGAGGAGGAGGAGGAAGAGGAGGAGGAGGAGGAGGAGGAGGAGGAGGAGGAGGATTGGAGGAGGAGGAGGAAGAGATGGTGGAATGCAGCAGGCTTTACAAGCCCCGGCCCAATGCTTCCTTCGCCCCGCCTGGGCATGCCCGTTGCAAGGCGGCCGGGCAGCCTAAGCAACAGGTGCTCTCAGAGGTGTGCCGGTGCTGTGCGTTGTGGTGGGGTGGAGCTGGCACCAGAGTGTTCAGCGCAGGGGCCGCCCGCGCAAGAGAGGGAGAAGGAGCAGCCGCTCAAACCCCGCTCGCCGGAGCCCCTGAGACAGCATTGACATCGGCACGAATTGTTGCAGGGAAAACACTCGCCATCGAGCCGACGCTCCTATGGCGGCAAAAAGGCGAACTGCACGACAAGCCTGTTCCTGCTCCCCCCCCCGACGGCCTGGCCCCTGGCAGGGGCACGCGCCGAGGCGTCAGACCCGAGGGGCTCACGGATGGGGGAATATCGAGCTGCAATCGGCGATGCGTCGCCGATGGACCGGCGATAGGCCCCCCACAGCGAATCCACACCTCTTGGCGAGCAGTGGGCGATTGGGGGTCGATGCGTCCCCCTCTGAGCAACTCTGAGCACATCCCTCCACAGCGTTGCCCCCGAAGATCCTGGAAGCCGAAACGCTCACCCGAACGCCGAGGAGAAACTGATCTTGCGCACGACGACGCGGCGACCTTGCGCAATGGCGCATGCGAGCCGCCCGCGTGGCACACCGCTCAAGAACAAAAGCTCTTGCGCGCGGCCCTGCGCTGGCATCTTGCCCGTGAATCTCCGCGTTACGCCGTGTTGAAACTGGCGCGGGTTCCCTAGCGCGAGGTGAGTTCGAGGTGTGCTCGCAACCCAGACCTCCGTTGACTGGATCTTTTCGAGACGCCGACCCCTGGATCCATCGAAACCCTCCCCAATACATGTGTTGTCCGTATTACGTTCTGACGGTCCTGGGCCCTGGAAGTGGCATCGAGACACCGAACCTTGCGGAGAACCTTTGGCAGGGCGTCTTCGAATCGCCCATGCCGTAAGACCAGCCTCAGACGATCCAGTGGTACCCCAGAAGCTCCCCCAAGAGGCCAAGCGGTGCTCAAGGGGCACATGGGCGCCTGCATCGTTCTCGATATTGCATCAAAGGGGAACACACAAGTACCGATACCGCTGCTCCCTGGACCTCTCCCGGGTTGCGTTCTGACCAGGATTTCGGAACGAATCCAACAGTTGCGACGAGGGCCTCCGAGGAGGCCCACAAAGGCGAAAACGAGTGAAAGGCAACGGTATGGGTACCTTTTTTCTTCCTCTGGCTACGCTATCCGAATATTGGGAACACAGTGGGTGCCGTTAGCCCCCACCTACCTTGACAGCCAACTTGTTCTCTTGCGCAAGGTGTTTCTGACCACTTGATTTCGGCACGGCACCGCCCCCCCCATCCCGCGCGCCACCTCCGCATCACCCCGCCCACTCCGCCCGCCAGCCAGCGCGCCCCCTCCGCCCCGACCTTTTCATTTCGGCACGCCCCCCCCCATCCCGCACGCCCCCTCCGCATTACCCCTACCCACCAGCCAGAGCGCCCCGTCCGCCCCGACCCCCTCGCGCCCGGACCCTTTATTTTCGTTCGTCGTCGTCCCCCTGGTCCTGGTCCTGGTCCTGGCCCTGGAACCAGCCTCCACCCCTGGACCTGGCCCCCGCCCCTCCTGTTCCTAGCCCCCGCCACCCTCGCCCCGCTGGCCCTGTCCCCGGACCCAGCCTTCCCCACTGGCCCAGCCTTGAAAAATCTACCGCGCCTCAGTTGTCAAAAAAATCAGTTTCCCAATCGACAACCGCTGATTCAGCATCGGGGCGCCCTGGCCCCACCTGCTCCTCCTGCTCCTCCTCCTCCTCTTTGTCTCCTCGATCCCCCCACCTGCGCCTGCTCCTCCTTCCCTCCTCAAATGTGCAAGAGCCAGAGCACGAGTGCCACCTGTTTTTCCACATGTTCGGACAAATAATTCTGTCGAGTGTTGGGGGCCAAATGGGCGTCCTCCAAGAAGGGCCCGAACCGCCGAATGATCGGTCCAAGACGACCAAGATGGCCTGAAGACGGCCGAGGTGGCGCTCAAGACGCCCCAAAAGAGGCCCAAGAGGCCTCACAAGAGGGCCCCACAAGGCAAACATCGTCGAATCCCTCTTCGAAAACGTACACCTCTAGCATGCACGACGTTTCGGCCTCACGACGTTGAGGCGGCCCAAAAGGCCTCCAATATCTCCGCAAGGCGGCCCAACAAGCCCCCAATACTGCCTCAATACGGCCCAGGAGGGCCTCAAGACGGCTCAAGAGGCGCCCCAGACGGCCAAAGAGAGCCCCAAGAGGGCCACAAATGGCGCCCAAGAGGGGGACCCCGAACTGGCAATTTGAACCTTCCGACCCAAGATGACCCCCAAGAGGCCACAAGACCGCCCCCAAGAGGCCTCCTCCTACGACCTCCAAACGAAAACCCAAGAGGCCTATGACCCACAACCCAAGCACGCTGGCGGGATGGGCCGAATCCAGTTCGATAGAGGAAGGAGGGCGGAACAAAAACGAGCAAGGATGAACGAGGCAAAAGCGGGCGGAGGTGAGGAGGAAATGAGGTATGCATGCCAGAAGGTGGGGGGTTGGCTGGAATGCACAGCGTGGCAACTGGATGCGGGGTGGGGGTCCTGGTTTCAAGCTACATGATGTGCACATGTACTCAACGAAGTGCTGACATCTGCGTGCATCATAAGACACTCCTCCGCTGGAAAATTGCCTACGCCCAGAGCGACTGGCAAGCCTGCAGATACTACGTTGTAGCGGCTGTCTGCGCTACAGCAGTATACACGTTTGGTAGCTGGTGTCATAAAGGGTACCTGCAGGAAACTATATCGCGTCAGAACAAGTCGGCTACACCTGACCGACCAGTCACAACTAGAGCAGAGCTCGGTCACACCTGTTCGGAGGGACGAAATCGTCAAGGACGAGTCAGAGCAGGAGGATCCTTGGCGGCGGGCATGATGGACTAGAGTGAGGGGGCGGCCTTCAAACCTTCTGAGACGGCAGGTGTCATCTGAGAAGGAATCGGCATCTCGTTCTCAGAAGGCCGTCCCCTCAACCCTGCCCAACCTGACGATCGGCAATACTTGGGCCAGGAGGGTGAGGAGAGCGGCGGCCACAACACCCGTGGGCCGCACAGCTTTGGAGGGGCCCTCTTGTCGATGGGGCCAACGGGGTCTATCAGCTGTCATTTCTTCCCTCCGCCCTCCTCCCATTTCCTACTCCTCGAACACCTCGCCCCAGACACCATTTTCGTCAAACCGCCTCCTCATCTGTCATCCTGATTGTGTTCCACTTTCCTTCCTCCCCTCCTCCTTCTGTCTTCCTCCTCCTCCTCTGGCAAGACCCTCTGGCAGGATCTGACGCAGGATCGCTCGGCGATAAGCTAATACGACTGCATATACAGTGAACATGTCAACCCCGAACGCCTGAAACCAATGCAGCGGCGAGGTTCACACTCCCCGGTCACGCGGCATGAATGTGTCCCTCCTCATCCTGCTCTGCTCCATCATCAGGGGAAGGGCGACTTCTTGAAAACCAGGGGCTTCCCATAAGGTGCCTGCCTCATCAAAACCGTGCCACTCAATGCCGTGGGTATGATCGCTTTTGTGTGTTCTCAACCCCCGGTTCGTTTCTCGTCCTGTGGCGCGAAACAGGCCACATGATGCGAAGAAAGCCTACGGCACGAGCAGTTTTCCCAATCCTCCATGTTGGGTCCTCGCTTTGACCAAGACTCTGGTTGCCCCAGACCCTTCCGACTCGTCCTGTCCTCCTTTCTCGTTGCTCTCTCGCCCATTCGTAACACACTATCTTGATATTTCTTCTCTTCCTGATCCCACGAAGATCCAAGCTAATGAGCACTGGGTAGAAAAGAAAGAATTCCCCTGGCCATGGCGAAACTCGGCCACGAATGCGATTCGGTTCCGAGCCCCCCCCTCCTGAGCTCAAAATTGTCCTGATGTCAGCGTTCTGACTGTAGAAGTCGACCTCCATAGGTGCTGCCGGGCTTGCAACCTGGGAGGTCCAGCGGATCATGCGGAGCGGTGGGCCCTACGCATATCCAAGCTAAAACTCGCCGTCCATGGGTGCTGCCAGGCGTGCAGCCAGGGTCCAGCGGGGAGGTCCAGCGGGGCGACGCCCCGCCAAGCCCTTAACGGGACTTCGCCCTCTCTGGATGCGGCCACGCGTGCAACTGTCGCCACTTTGCTGCACCCGGAAGGATCTGGCGGAATGACTTCCCACGCAGACGCAAAACGTAACCTCGCTGCCATGCCACATTTCTCAGCAGTGGCATGGCAATATCCAAGGTCCAAGCGAGGTGATGGCCCACGCAGATCCAAGCTAGGACTCGCTTTCCCTGTGTGCTTCCAGGCGTGCAAACCTGCGCCACTTGGCTGCATCCCTGGGGGTCCAACGGAATGACGCCTCAGGCATGCCCAAGCCGGCGCTGGCATACATCAGTGCTGCCAAGCGAATAACTGTCGCAACTGTACTGCGCCAGTGGGGGTCTGTGGAATGCGTGTATGGAATACAGAAAGACACGTAACAACATTATTGGGACCCGTGTTAAGAGAGACAGCGCGTTCTCTTTCCTTTTGCGGGAGCTCGCGCGCGCCCGCGGCCAGCGCGCCAAGTAGCTCAAGGGCCCTGCGAGCCAGAGAGGCGGCAGGGCAGAAGAGGTGATAACGAGGCGCAGGAGGAAAGGCTGAGAAACGCAGCGCCCCGCCATTGCGGATAAGAGTGAAGGGGCAGGCGCGGGGTGGGTCGCGGGTTGGGCCGCGGGTGGGTCGCGGGGCGGGTCACGAAGCGGGGTGGGGACGACGCAACAAAACAACAACAACAACAACAACAACAACAACAACAACAAACCGGCGACTCACGCTGGCGCCCCTATGATCGGAATAATCGGATCCGATTACTCCGATCATTGGATGATCGGAGTGATCGGATCCGATTATTCCGATCATTGGATGATCGGAGTAATCAGATGCGATTGCTCCGATCATCCAATGATCGAAATACAACATTTCCGATTGTACTGGATGATCGGAATGATCGGATCCGATTACTCCGATCATTGGATGATCGGAATAATCGGATCCGATTACTCCGATCATCCAATGATCGGAATACTACGAATCCGATTGTATTGGATGATCGGAATAATCGGATCCGATTACTCCGATCATCCAATGATCGGAATACTACGAATCCGATTGTATTGGATGATCGGAATAATCGGATCCGATTACTCCGATCATCCAATGATCGGAATACTACGAATGGATGATCGGAATAATCGGATCCGATTACTCCGATCATTGGATGATCGGAACAATCGGACCCGATGACTCCGACCATTGGATGATCGGAATAATCAAATGCGATTACTCCGATCATCCAATGATCGGAATACTACAATTCTGATTGTATTGGATGATCGGACTCCGATCATTGGATGATCGGAATAATCAGATGCGACTACTCCGATCATCCAATGACCGGAATACTACGAATCCGATTGTATTGGATGATCGGAATAATCGGATCCGATTACTCCGATCATTGGATGATCGGAATAATCGGATGCGATTACTCCAATCATTGGATGATCGGAATAATCAGATGCGATTACTCCGATCATCCAATGATCGGAATACCACGAATCCGATTGTATTGGATGATCGGAAAAATCGGATACGATTACTCCGATCATTGGATGATCGGAATAATCGGACCCGATGACTCCGACCATTGGATGATCGGAGTAATAAGATTCCGATTGTATTGGATTCCGATTATAATGGGTTCCGATTGTATTGGATTCCGATTATAACGGGTTCCGATTGTATTGGGTTCCGGTTGTATTGGGTTCCGATTGCATTGGGTTCCGATTGTATGATCGGAATAATTGGATCCGATTACCCCGATCATTGGATGATCGGAATAATCGGATCCGATTACCCCGATCATTGGATGATCGGAATAATCGGATACGATTACTCCGATCATTGGATGATCGGCGCAGTAGGATTCCGATCGTATTGGGCTCCATTTTGGAATCTGTGGGATTCCATTTGGACGCTAGGGATAATCGGATCCGATTCCTCCGATCATTGGATGATCGGAATAATCGGATCCGATTACTCCGATCATTGGAGGATCGGAATAATCGGATCCGATTACTCCGATCATTGGATGATCGGCGTAATGGGATTCCGATCGTATTGGCTCTATTTTGGAACCTGTGGGATTCCAATTGGACGATCGGAATAATCGGATCCGATTCCTCCGATCATTGGATGATCGGAATGATCGGATCCGATTACTCCGATCATTGGATGATCGGAATAATCGGATCCGATTACTCCGATCATTGGATGATCGGCGTAATAGGATTCCGATCGTATTGGGCTCCATTTTGGAATCTGTGGGATTCCAATTGGACGATCGGAATAATCGGATCCGATTCCTCCGATCATTCGATGATCGGAATAATCGGATCCGATTACTCCGATCATTGGATGATCGGCGTAATAGGATTCCGATCGTATTGGGCTCCATTTGGAATCTGTGGGATTCCAATTGGACGATCGGAATAATCGGATCCGATTCCTCCGATCATTGGATGATCGGAATAATCGGATCCGATTACTCCGATCATTGGATGATCGGAATAATCGGATCCGATTACTCCGATCATTGGATGATCGGCGTAATAGGATTCCGATCGTATTGGGCTCCATTTTGGAATCTGTGGGATTCCAATTGGACGATCGGAATAATCGGATCCGATTCCTCCGATCATTGGATGATCGGAATAATCGGATCCGATTACTCCGATCATTGGATGATCGGAATAATCGGATCCGATTACTCCGATCATTGGATGATCGGCGCAATAGGATTCCGATCGTATTGGGCTCCATTTTGGAATCTGTGGGATTCCAATTGGACGATCGGAATAATCGGGTCCGATTCCTTCGTTCATTGGATGATCGGATAAATCGGATCCGGTTACTCCGATCATTGGATGATCGGGATGATCGGATCCGATTACTCCGATCATTGGAGGATCGGCGTAATAGGATTCCGGTCGTATTGGGCTCCATTTTGGAATCTGTGGGATTCCAATTGGACGATCGGAAGAATCGGATCCGATTCCTCCGATCATTGGATGATCGGAATAATCGGATCCGAATACTCCGATCATTGGATGATCGGAATAATCGGATCCGATTACTCCGATCATTGGATGATCGGCGTAATAGGATTCCGATCGTATTGGGCTCCATTATTGAATCTGTGGGATTCCAATTGGACGATCCGAATAATCGGACCCGATTCCTCCGATCATTGGATGATCGGAATAATCGGGCCCGATTACTCCGATCATTGGATGATCGGAATGATCGGAACCGATTACTCCGATCATTGGATGATCGGCGTAATAGGATTCCGATCGTATTGGGCTCCATTTTGGAATCTGTGGGATTCCAATTGGACGATCGGAATAATCGGATCCGATTCCTTCGATCATTGGATGATCGGCATAATCGGATCCGGTTACTCCGATCATTGGATGATCGGAATAATCGGACCCGATTACTCCGATCATTGGATGATCGGCGCAATAGGATCCCGATCGTATTGGGCTCCATTTTGGAATCTGTGGGATTCCAATTGAACGATCGGAAGAATCGGATCCGATTCCTCCGATCATTCGATGATCGGAATAATCGGATCCGATTACTCCGATCATTGGATGATCGGAATAATCGGATCCGATTACTCCGATCATTGGATGATCGGCGTAATAGGATGCCGATCATATTGGGCTCCATTTTGGACTCTGTGGGATTCCAATTGGACGATCAGAATAATCGGGCCCGATTCCTCCGATCATTGGATGATCGGAATAATCGGATCCGATTACTCCGATCATTGGATGATCGGAAT